CCCCCCCCCCCCCTCTCAAATTGTAGCCTGGTCTAGTTACTACTTGGATGAATGGGTACCAACCATATCAATTTCTTCTTCGCTAGCCCGGTGACTACCGGGATGAACCGAACTTGTTTCATAGAATGCTTACACAGAAACAGTAGATCCAACGCCCGTTCCCCATAAGCCATCAAACAGAATGCCTAGTCCCTGTGTATGACAACATATTAAAGCGAATAATTTAGGGGTAAGAACTATCTTTTTAGACTCAACCGAGCACCGTAAGGTCTGAATGTCATCCTATGACACTGAAATCCAAGAGCGGTGCCCTATCATTTTGTGACGGTGAGCGTTGTAACGCAAAGTGTTTTGTAACTTACGCACCAACCAGCCGATGCCGCGGCTTATAACAGAATAAGGTGGATGTGTGGCACTCCCAAACCTTGCTGCTGCAACAAATGCCCCTGTAGACTACATACACAAAACATATTCAATGAAAAATCAAAAATAATGACCAATTAAGTATATAAAAGCCCATTTATATGAATTGGAATTTGAAATGGATTATTATAATAAAAAAAACCTCAACTAGAGCAACAAAAGCTGATGCTAGCATGACTACAGTCTCTCCAGCATTGACACTTGGAGTTCCCCATTGCCATGGATATGGAAACCTTAGCCTGCCAATTCAGACAAGTTCCATGGACAATGTTTGAAAGAAGCCCATAGAGAAAACTATAAAACCCAACAAAGGTTACGATGAACTCACCACGATGAACCGGTTATGAGGCCAGACCGGTCCACACGGCAACTGAACTGAGTCTGAAGCGGTCTGTGTTTGTACGCCCCTGCCACGGTCAATAGGGCAGCAAATGACCATGCTACCCCCACAGATATGAAGACAGCATATCGACCCATTACATGTCGGTCCGACTTCAACCATTGTGGAACATACTGCAAAACAAAAATATGGCAACTTTTTTTATCTACACTTAATGAAGTGAATTAGCCAGTAAAAAAAACCCAACAATATAGTTCATAAATGTTACCTGAGAAAACAATATGAGGAGAACCAATTCTGTCAGACCAATCTCAACACATTCTGCTACCAGTGGGAAGCCATGTTCATACAGTCCAAAGCCAACAAGTGTAACCAAAGGAACTGCAGAAAGAGGACTCAGGAGCCTATGTACATTGCATTTAAAATGTCTTAAGTCATTTCACATCGGCTAAATATATATACAGATTGTCTTTTAGAATGGAACTTGAAGCGTAATTTATACCTGACGATAATCCTCCAAAGCCCGAGAAATCCGAATAACATGGGAAGAATAGATGCAATGATAAGAGCCCCTTGCATCCCTCTCATTGTTTGTTTAAACCTCTTAATAATTAAGAATCACAACCAAGAAAAAGTGGGAGCATCAACTATTAAAGAAAGGGGTTAATTCTTGAAGTCTACCTAGGAATTGAATCTATGAACTTTCTTAATAGTTACATATATAAAAGTTTTCATAATGTTGAGATGAACATATGTGGTCCCCACCTCGCGAGGGTCGGAGGAATAGGCATTGAATCTAGTAGACAAGGCGACATGTAAGGCCGGGATGAGGAACTTGTACGATCCACCAATGACAACGGGAAGGCGGGACCCAAACCAAGTTTGCAGCAGCGTGTTCACCCCACCAACAAAGAGCAAAGTCTGTACCAATTCGGCTTTCTCTTTCTGGTACAAAATCCAATTTTCACACTATAAACATGATGCAAACATACATATGTAGAGGTGATGAACCATCAAAAAAGAAGAATTGAAGAAGAACATACATTAGTTCCTCCCATTTGAGGAACAATGATGGTGGGGATTATGACAGTAGTCCCTAGCATTACGAGATAGTGTTGAAACCCTAGAACGATCGACTCGGCTGCATTAATCAAATCAGATCAGATCAAATTGCTTGTTTTAAATTAATACGCATATCATATGTTGAGTGCTCAACTTCCCACATCGGCTGACTAGCCTAACAAATTACTGTTTATAATAGCTTAGGTGCCTCAACGGCTCAACCTTTTCAGTTAACGCTCAACCTTTTCAGTTAACCTTTTCAGTTAACGCTCAACCTTTTCAGTTAACTTTTGGAGTTAAATTGAACCCCCTAGTCCATAAAGATCCCAAATCGACCAAAAGTTTAACCAAAGAGCAAGAAATATTTATACATATACTCTACAAAACACACACTTTTTCAAGAGCAAAATCAATAGTACCAAAACACCCTCTGAACCCATCAATTCATCTCAAATGGTTCTAATGTGAAAGTAACTTCAAATTAACTAAAAAACAGAAACAGGAAATCAAGAAACTGATGGAAATTAAAGAAATGAAATGCAATTAAAATATAATGAAGGTAATTAGGGTATACTTAACTCCAAGAAGGGTTGCTGTTGAGACAATAGTGAACTCCGGGGAGTTGATCCTTCACCGGATGTGGGCCCATTTCTTCCTCCTTTGCACCTCCCCTCATCTTCTTCAATTCCTTTATTAACCCCAGAAAATAGAAATTCTAATAAAAAATTAATCTTTTTTTGGTGGGTTTGTAGGAATTTACCACCTTTCTCAGACCGACATGGTTCACGTCCTACATGAGCTATGGACCGAAAGAATCATTCTTTACAAGTGGTTTCTGGTTTTTTTTTAACGGATGATGAAATAAAAAGGAAGAAGATGAAAAAGGTTGAAGAAAGAAAGGCTTTTGCTGGAAAGTTGAAATGGAAAGACAGGCCACCAGCAACCTTTTAAGAATTCATAAAATGCTGGGAAAATTAAACTTTTTTTATTGGGAATTGAAAAACGGTTTCTTATCTTTGTCCTTTCGTCACCAAATTTTCATTATTTTATGTTAGTTTTTCCAAGAATAGGCAAATTTGGTTGGGATCATTTAAGAGGAGTTGGCTGCAGATGAGAAAAAATGATGTAGATGATCGAACTAATCCCTTTTATTAATTCAAATAATTACTAGCTAGGTAGTGGACAACCTATTTAAGACTTAAGATCGAGTACGTCCTCCTACGTCATTGAAGAGCAACGTTATATATTGATCCTTCACTGCGCTTAATTAAGATTATATATACTTACTCAAAATATAGTCACTTGTTTCTTTGGTGCACAAACTTATATAGGGTTTGTTTGGGTATAGGCTCTTCAGATGTCTTTTGGCTGTTTTGACTAACATTGGTTGTATTGACGAGTCAAATAATCAAATAGAATGTTTAGCAAATGATTGTTGAAGTTAGCTAGCTGATAGAGTCTCACTAGGACAGGCGTAGAGGGTGGGGGAGGGGTGGCGTTCGAAGGACGGGTGAGGGAGAGAGAGGAATTGGGATTAGGTTTGAAGGATGAATGGCTGGGAAAAAACCAATCTTGTTTTTTAGTACTTCCCTGCGACGGATCTGCGACGGAATTCAGCGTCCGTCGCAGATAACCAGGTCAAAATTTGACCTACTCAAATTTGCGACAGGGTATAATATTCTGTTGCTGATTTGCAACGGAAAAATGACGTCCGTCGCAGATTTTATTTTTTTTTCATAGGTTATGGATCCGTCGCTGATCCGTTGCAGATCTGCTACGGAAAAGGGTCCGTAGCAGATTTCCGTTGCAGACCAGACAAATTCTTGTAGTGTCTGAAAAGCCAAAATATGAAAAGCAAGGAAGAGTAGCCTTTCGAGTTGGTTGTTGGCTATTGGAGTATAATTATTTATTATATACTCCCTCCGTCCCCAAAGAAACTTTCTCTTTCGTTTTTTCTTTGTCCCTAAAAAAACTTCTCTTTTCTATTAAAAAACCACTTTCACACCTTACTTTGTCATACCCTACCTATCACATCATACCTCTTTACTAATAATCTACATATCACATCTTACTTTTACACATCACATCAAGGGTATTTTTAGAAAATCAACACCAAAATATCCCTCCCTTAATTTCCCAAAAAGTCAAAAAGGAAAGTTTATTTATGGACGGAGGGAGTAAATATTAAATAAATAAATAAATAAATATGAAGTAAATAAAAAACAAACAAACAAATGAGTAAATAATAACTACTTTTGCATCCCGAAATGAAATTCACTTAGAATTTACGAGGTATTTTTTTTAAAAAAAATTATTTTATTCGAAAATTGGTACTAAAATAAAAAACTTACATATTAAATAACTTTTATAACAAATATAATTTGTTAAATAGTCTACTACATCAAAATGGAAGGCAAACACTTCTCCTATTTTTAATAGCAAAACTAAGTAAGCAAAAAATATTGACTCTAGTCAAAATATTATTTATATAATAAATACCCATTTCATTTTTTGTCCGTCCCATATATAAAACATGTTTATCTCGTCTCAAATGCCCAAAAAACTTTTAAAACAATAACTTCTACCCACACTAAAGAATAAATGTGGTAACTTTAGGCATTTTAGATATGAGTAGAAGCATTTTATGATATGTGCAAAAAATGAAATAGGTAAATCTTTTTAGGACGGAGGGAATATGATTTTACATTTAATCCAATTTAAAATATGGACTTCTGTGGATGGAGGGTTGAATGTCTTTAGAAAGAATTGAGTCCATTCCAAACCTTGGGATCCAATTCTGTTAGTGGTTCATTTATTTGTTTCAAATGTTAGACTATGATTAGCCTCATTTCTCATCCAAGAATAATGTTAAATAAACTCATTCACAAGTGTGTGACTCTCAGATGAATGATTTGGTTGTTTATGATATTATTTTAGCCTTATTGGATTTTTGGATATTTAGCATTTTGCACGCACTACAAAAAATATTGCGAAAAGAGGGGGAAAACCCCGCCGCTAATCTTCTTTTTTTATACTTCTTTCGTCCAATAAAACTTTTCAAAGTTGAAAAATAACGCACCTTACAAATGATAATTTTGACATAATTTTCTAATTATGACTCATCTAATTTCAATTATGTCAAAATCTTAATGTGTTTTAGTATAAAAAAGATATTACGGAGTATTAATTAATTTTATCTTGTTGAAAATTTTTAAAATTATTTTTCACTTTACTAACATGCAAAACAAATTGAGTCTAATTAAGCTTCATAGTTCTTCTAGTTTCATTCGAAAAATTTAAATTGGATAAATAAATTGGGACGAAGATCAGACGTGTTTATTTTAATCGAATGCTCTCGCTACATTCCAAACATTTTTTTAATTTGTACAATTATTTATTTGCGAATAAGTAAAGAAAGTGGTGGAGAAAATTTTCGTTACTTAGAAGAATTAGAGGAGTATGAAAAGGTAGTACGTACGACTATTCCAGATGTCTAATCCGATTCATGCATGAAAAAAAAAATCAAAAAATAATAATCCTCATTAATTTCCTTTCCATTTTTCTTTTTTAGTTGTTTAATTTTTTTTCCAGTTTCTTATTTTGGCAAAAAACTCTTAATGAATCTTCATTATATCTCAACTTTTTATCTACATTATTTACTCTATTTCATCGTATTAAGGATAACACATGAAATTTTTTTACAATTTTTAATTTTTTTGAATTTCCATTTCAAATTAAACTGGGATAGAAATTTTTAGACCTATACTGACAACACCTCATTCACATGGGAGATCAGAGGAAAAGAATATGTGGTGTTTTCATACTTCTCCATCGTTTTCCCTGTCATCCATATCATATCAATTATGTGTGTATGTATAAGTATTATATTTGGAAATATTCATCATATTCATAATTTAGGAAAACATTATTTGTGATTCCATATTATTCTTTTCCATAATTTGGGAATGCGTTCCTTATTTAGCTTTAGATTGCTGCATATTACGTTTTTCATTTAATTTTTCTTTGCATAATTTGGGAATATCTTCCTTATTAGGCTTATTTAGCTTTAGATTATTTTAAAATGTTAAAATTAAAAATTACTCCCTCCGTCCCATTTTAAATTGCATGTTTGCCTTTTTTCTCCGTCCCAAAATAAGTTGCCTGTTAGTTGTTTTCGTAAACTTTTAAAAATAAAATACATAAACTACCCCTAAAATAAGTCACATTTTTTCACCTTATCTTCTCATCCATCATCACCCCTCCTAAAAAGTAATGTCAATTTCGGAAAATCAACTCTATTTTTAATTTTCCTTAAATATGTCCAAAAGTCAAAACAGGCGATTTAAATTGGGACGGAGGGAGTACTACGGAGTATTATATACGTACGGAGTAATACTTTGTATGAACAATGCGGAGTTTTATTTTAAATTATTTTAGGGTAAAAGTCTTACTAGATACTTCTATAAAAGACTCTTCAGGTTTATAAACCATATACTTTTTAACTAGTGCACGAATAGTCGTTATGGCCAAAACTCCGGCATACCGTTCATTTTTGTTTTAAAAAAATTGAAAAAATATAGGGGCATAGTAAGAGGTGTACCCTTGTCTTTTATAGGAAGTAGTGTTTAACATCACTTATGATCAGAGAGCACATCTTGAATCACACTAAGTATATTTTTTTTTTCAAAAAATGAAAAAATAAAAAATGGATAAAATATCGTACTTTTAAAAATACTACGTATATGTTATGAGTTATGACAGAGACTTGGATAGAAAAACTATGGAAAGGACTACTTATGCATTTGTAAAAAAGTCTATGGATCTAGAGAATACTTTTGAAAAAATATACTCCATAGAATCTAGTAAGTGAAGGGAAAATACGGAATAAAACTTTTTTTAAAGAAAAATGAATCTTATACTGGAGTTTTGGCTGTAAGTGTATAAGGACCTTACAAGCACTTAAAATAGAGCAATGATAGGTTGACAAATAAAATGATCACAAAATCTACAAACTTGTCATTTATGATTTAAATTCTAATTTTAAAATTATTTTAGACTACTTTGTTTTTTTATTAAAGTTCACAACTAATAAATTTATAAATATTGTGACCATTTTTTTGTGAACAAAGCAATTTTTCTTAAGGTAGTGTTTGTCAACTAACATTTCATTTCAATTCATGTATTTCAATTCTAAAATTTAAAATCTTGAATTTCAAATGACAAGGGGAGGTGCATGAATTTCAAATTAAGCTTTGTTATGAATGAGAAGAATTTTTACTCAAATCCAAATTAAAAATTTTTAAGTTTCCCAAACATGGAATTTGAGCCAAATCCAGATTTGGAATCCAAATCCATGTTCCCAAATATACCATAAAATAATTTAGGGATCTGAATTGAAGGGCACTTTAAAAAAATGTAGGGACCTAGTAACACTTTAAGACTTCCATATTAATTAAAAAAATTACACCTAAAAACTGTCATAAAATAATATTTCCCATAAACTACTAAAGCACATGCATATTTGAGTTAGTTGTTCCTGAACCCTTGACTCAACAAGAAGTGATTGATCGAATTGATCCAGTAGATTTGATGGACTGACTAAATCTGAATGATTGAAATTATGAGAATTCTCTCGAATAGGAAAGATATGATTCAAAGACATTGTCTTTTATATTAAATTTATTTTAATCTAATTTATTTAAATAATACAGAGTAGCACGAAATCTCAAAATAAAAAAATTGTGATTGGCGTTAGTGTTTTGAAAAGACTATTTACGGCCAACATTTAGCATTAGCGTTTTCAAAGTTCAAAGTAGTCTGCATCATTAATTTTTTTATTTAAAACGCTAACATTATTCCCAAACAGGTCCTACATCAAGTTTTTTACAAACGAAGAGCTACAATG